AATTGTACTGTTGTGTGTATATTAAAACTTATTTGTGTTAAAAACAAAGACGGTGTGTATCAATCTTGTTGGCAAATATCGGCATATATTGAAATACTAAATCCAAAATACAATTTAACTACTAAATTGAAATTATCAGTTAACTTGACTTCAGAATATTTGAAATTCTAATACGTAACATGACATAAATCCTTCTTCAAGATAAGTATTTACTTTTTTTCTTTTTTTTTACTATATACAAAGACTGTTCTTAGTTCATACACAAAGTTTGCTCCAAAATTTGCAGTCCCTTTGATAGCTTCAATGCAGAAGCTGTAGTTCTGAAGGCACAATGCCCACATCTTGATCCTAGCACTGTTGATCTTGCACCTCTGAATCTATGCAAGTGGCTAATGGTCTGTTTGAATGATGAACTCCTTCATGTATAGATAATTCTTTTTCTTTTCTATGGCTATCTGTCGGTCCCCCATTTTATGTCAAACTCCAATACAGTATATCTGATGTAACACTTGGATGGTCTAATTATGAGGCCTGCTGCCCTCCCTCACTCACTGGAACAGCTGACTAAGTCTCTTCAGGTGGTCTTCCCATCCTGCAGTGTGTATCAGAATGTCATCCACATAGTGTTCAGTGTTGGTGATGCTGCGCAGCATCCTACTCATCATGCGGTTGAATGTTGCTGCTGAGATGACTAACCAAAATGGCATCCGCTTAAATTAGTAACATTCATCTGGTGTCACAAATGCTTTCTTCTCTTTAGATCTCGTCTCCATTGGGATTTACCAATAACCTTTACTGAGGTTGAATTTTGAAAAGAACCTTGCCCCATCTAGTTTTGCCATGATGGCCTTATGGGTTGCCCACAGGTTCAGAGTCAAACTTCGTCATAAGGTTCAGCTTCCAGAAGTCTATGCAGAAACAGTTTGATCCATCCTGGTTTTTCATGAATATATCTGCATACTGGCACAGTAGGTCTTGTAATGCTTTTTTTTTTTGCCTGCCAGTCAGTTTTTCACTGAAGTTGACATCTTTGTATGTCTCATCTTTACCAAGTGGTCTTAGGTCTACTAGGTCCTCATCTTCTAAGAGAAAGTCACTGTCTTTTGTTTCTGATCTATGATGGTCACACCTGCAACATCCATCTCTGTTTCAAAAGCTTTACCTGTTAGGTTTTTTTTTCTCTCCCAGAATACTTCTTCAACAGGTTGGCATAGAAGATCTTGGTCTTCCCATTCACATTCACCTTGTAGTTCATTCTGTTTAGTACTTAAAAATGTCCTTTCCATTGCATTGTAAATTTGTTGTGGTCTGTGGGCAGCAGAACTAAGACCTTTAGTTTAACCTTGAAATGTTGATCCTTGGTTTTCTTGTCATAGAAATGCTTCTGACTGCCTTGAGCTACATACAAATGCTGTTAAGTGAGTTGACAGGTCTCCTCCAGTTGGTTTCTGAGGTCTAACACATACTGGTATGTATTCCTTACTGCTGACTCTTCTTCTCCCATCCATAGCTCTTTCAATATTTTCATTGGACCTCATACTGTTCTTCCATACAGTAACTCAAATGGTGAAAATCCTATACTTGCTTGTGGGACTTCTTGATAAGTGAATAATACTGCCTGCAAGTACCTGTCCCAGTCATGTGGTCTCTCTTGGCACATCTTCTTGAGCATGCTCTTTTAAACTCCATTGACTCTGTCTCACAAAGTCCATTAGATTTAGGATTGTATGGGGTGGTAAAGAGTTGCTGAGTTCTGATGAGTCTGCACACTTCCTGCATCATTTCTGAAGTAAACTAGGTCCCTCTGTTGCTCAGGATTTCTCTTGGAAAGCCTCCTCTGCAAAATATCTCCAGAAGGGCTTCTGCTACTCTCTCTATTTCTATCTTCACCAGTGCTGTTGCTTCCGGATAACGTGTAGCATAGTTGACTATTGTCAGCACATACCGATTGCCCTTGTCAGACACAGGCTCTAGTGGTTCGATCAAGTCCACAGCTACTCTGCTGAATGACTCTTCTATGAAAGGCATCTCTCCCAATGGCACTTTAGTTACTTTCCCTCCAGGTATTAATCTTTGGCAGATGTCACAAAACCTGCAGAATCTACTCACATCTCCGATGACTCCTGGCCAATGGAAGTTACTGGTAATTCTGTCTATCAGGAATCATAACTCGTACTCTGATTTGTGCCAAACTCCATAATATTACCTATTTCATAGCTTTTCAGACCATTTCCTACTTCCTCAAAAATTGTTTCTCATCTTGTAATTTAAATTCTTTTTTTTTTCTAATTCTGAGATGAACATTTTAGCTATGGTTACTTGGATTTCAGAATTTATCATAAAGATACATTTTGTAGATTCAGGCTTACTTTCAGAAAAAATATTCCTTTGATATTGCCAACTTATTCAAGAATTTACCTAACAATGCAATTTTTAGATTGTATTATTTTAGTTTTATTTTATACTTTTATATATATATATATATATATATCAAAAACTACTTTTAAATGTGTTAGATTGGGAGATATTAAATGGCTAACTTTGTTCGACGAAGTGGCTTTTTCTTGCATTGTTTATCCCTGTGAAAGACTTAGTACTTGTAGAATTTTAGTATATGGACTAGAGCTAGACAGTTAATTAATCAATTACCTATTCAGATCGATTAATTGAAGTTACTATTAAACTGATTAATGTCATGAAATAAATAATCAAAATTTGTGTTTTTCATTATTACTTTTTTTTTGGGTTATTCCATCTATCAAGTAATCCAAATGTTGCCATTATGATTTTTGAATAATTCAATAATGATCAGCTTAATGATTTAGTGTGTCACAACTCATAAAAATAATAATCAAAATTAGGGTTTCTGATTTTTATTATTTTTTGGTTATTCCAAAGTGATCAAAATATTGCCTTTGTGTTTGTTTGTTATTGAGTGCAAAGCTACACAATGCTCCCCTATGATTTGAGGGTCTCGGGTTTGATTCCTGTTGCCACCAATTTTGCTATATTTTTCATCCATTAGAGTATTATATTCGTTTCCTTGTTATTTTGAGTGATGTCAGAATTACTGAAGCTGTCTGCTGCAATCCTTAATTTTGAACTGCCAACCGTAGTAAAAAGTGACCAACCAGTAGCATCCACTGCCAACAAAGATGATAAGCAGTGAAAGATCACATTTTTCCCTTGGAAACAATAGCAAATTGTTTGTAAATGTGTAATCATTTTGAAATTAGAAGTATGTATTTATACTTTCAACCTTAAGCATGTGTTAAATAGTTTATTACTGTTTAATGTTCTGTACTTAACAGTAACTCCTTGGAATTCTAAGTTCTCATCCTTTTGACAAAATACTTTATTTAATGTCTAGATAATGAAAAATAATGTCTGTTTCTAAATCACATTTATTAATTCTTCCTTTACATGACATTGCTGAATACAGTTGACTCCTCAAGCTTCATCTGGCCACTTTCATTTAAGGAACTCGTGAAAGTGCCACATATAATCGTGCATGTGTGTGAATATGTTTCATTCAACACGAACCTATGAAACTTGTGTCTCCTTGCTTTTATGTAAAAATAAGAAAACTATTAACACATACGATTCTGGTGATGATCCTACTGTTATGTTGGTGTGAGTGGAGATTGAAGCTATAGTAAAAGTTTGAAATTTAGCAGCTACAATGATTGGACAGCTTTTTTGAGTCATGCATAAGCACCAATCAAGCCCGATTCAACCCAAAGTGTGATAAAGACAAAAGCATGTGTGAGATACAGAGAAATGATTTTCGTATATATCATAGGATATTTTTGTTTGAAACTACTCAAGGAAAACCATTTGTTCAAAGTGTGATAAGAAATATGTTTCTTTAACTAGTGTTTCAACACATTTTTTTCAACTTCAAAGCTTTTTAACTTCATTTTTCATTAACACGTCTTAATCTTCTCTGAAAAATTTTCATAGTATGTTTTGTGTCTAATGCATTAAATGTATTTCTTTGTTATTTTGTTACTATATATATAAAAGAAAAACACAACTCAGTAAGAATATTTCACAAAAAATACCTTCTTTTATTAATCTTAGTATCATGTTATTAAAAATTTTAATTGACAAGTTTTTGTCAGTTTTAACACAAGTATATATGTTTGACTCTTTAACAGTTTCCAGTTGGTAGAATTCATCGTCATCTTAAAAGTAGAACAACCAGTCATGGACGTGTGGGAGCCACTGCTGCAGTTTACAGTGCTGCCATTCTTGAATATTTGACAGCAGAAGTGTGTAGTTGACCTTGCAAGTTTTTTAATAGTGGAAATATTAGTGATAGAAATATCTAAACATAAAAACCTGTTAAACCATCAAAAATAAATTTTTAAATAGCACTGTTTCTTTCTAGTGCAGAAATAACCTGTGGTGTGTTTCTGTGTTCACTTGAAGAAAATTTATCCATAAAGTCACTGTACAATCTTGTTCTTATAGTTTTCCACATACACCACAGTAAAAAGTAATCCAAAAAAAATATATACACATTAATGATAGTGCCTTGCTACATAATATTCTATTATATTTTAAGTTGTTTGTGTGTGAAAATCATGCTTTATAATATAAATTAAGTAAAAGAAAAATCATGACGTATGAAAAGATAGAACTAATTAAATAATGGTTGCTTGAGGCAGAGAACAGCTGCTTGAAACTGGGGATTTCAATAAAGAAGAGGTCTGTAGCAGTCAACAAGGTTAATGCCAAATATTACATTTGATGATTTAGACAAGACCATGGGGGCTTTGAAGTAGTTGCTTTTATAGTTAGGGCTTTAGCAAAACTATTTAACCCTACCAAGACGGGTCTTCTTATGGTCACGGGTCAAAGGCCATGTCATCACGTTTGTAGACTCACATTCAAAATTTTATTGAAATATTTCATGAATGTATATCAATAAGTTTGGTGTCAAATTGCAGATTATAATTCAGATTGTAGTATTATACATTAGTTAATTTCTTAATTTAAATGTAAATATTAAAAAAACCTAAATATTGATTTTTGTTTGTTAATTGGTATGTTGAATGCAGCATTGGTTTAAATTAGATGTTTATGATGTACAAATACAAAGTCTATAGTCTCTTATGAATTAGATAATTACTGTATTGACAAGCCAAAATATAAGATAAGAACCTCCTATCTTTTCTGTTTTCTGAAATATTAATATATTTATTAAATCAACCAAGGTGGCCCCACCCACCTCTTACATATTTGAAAATACTTGCTTACATATACCTACTTCACCCATTGATGTCTGTATAACCAATCAAAAGTTCAGAATGTCCCTAGTGGTTTTCTCAGCTTTTTTGAAGTATTTGGGTGGCAAACTCTTTCTTTTCGTGCTAGATTCCAAGCAGTTAAGAAAACATTAGTGAGTTTGACAGTGTAAGTGATTTTCTGAATGCTAATCAGTTTAATCTCTAAAATTGATTATGGTAATATCTACAGAAATATTCTGTTTTGTTGCTGTTTTTTAAGCAAAAGACACAATTAAAACAATCAAAAAGTTTCCATAAGTATATTGGGATTTTTATAGTTCTTCTTGGATTAGTGTTCAAGATATATATATATATATATATATATTTAGTGTGCACTACTGAATATGCACTAATTTTAATTTCTTGATATTGTCAGGGTTTGATATGTATGTGGGTGAGCTGAGGATTCTTCTACAGTTGGTGTATGTTACTTATTGGTGATAAAATTGATGATAAATGGACAGCACACACTCCACTTGTTTTAAAATAATATATTGAAAACAAGTTAAACATATTTACACAAATTCTTTTCACTATAGAATATCACAGTTGTATTTTAAGCTCTAAATAATTCTCTTTTTCTTGCCAAAAGTCCACTTAGGCCGATTCATTTACTTTAGACTCCAATTGTCAAGACAAATTATTTTTCTCTACTTTTATCACAATATTATCAGTGAATAATTCACTTATGTTATCCCATGGGTTACCACAGTTGTATCCTGAACTTAAAATAATTGTCTCTTTTTCATCAAAGTCCACACAGGTGGGTTCAATTACTTTAGAACACCCTTTGACAAGACAAATTATTATTCTTATATCTATCAAACTGTGAAACTCACTTTAAAATATCACCTATTAAGGCTTATTACACACTTACTGGCTAACTTCATGTTTTGAAATCTTTCTCTATTTCTACTTTATTGCTTTATCATTTCATCGCTGCTATTTATATATTGATCACTGAGGTCTGGAACTTTCTGCAAAGTGCGTGAACAGAACCGATTGAACAATACTCAGTTAAGGTAAGAAGAATATTATTGAAAGTTTGAGTAATGTGACATGAACAATATTAGTTAAGCCTCAACAACAATGTATTGTAAATACAACATACAACTTGCTGAGTTACACAACCAAACTTGTCATAACTATCTCTTTTAAAATAATTACTTTCAACTCTCTTGTTATGAAAACTAAACATTCATGAAATATTAACTAGCAAAATAAATTAAATAATAGCATCCTACACTAAACAGTCTTGTATATCCAACAGATAAATATATGTGCTAAAGCATTTTCAAAAGTTAATATTTAAGTTTGGCATGTTTGTACTTGATTCAGAATTTACAAACTTTGTTTTGTTGTTTTTTCTGTAATAAGCTTACATAATGTATTGCTTAAAATTTTTTATCTTTCTACTGGTCATAAACATGCCCAATAGCACTGCCAGACATTTCTAAGAAGACAGAGGATATGAGATGAATGTGTCTATATGGGTTGAACATGTATTGATATCTCAGTAAAGCAAGAAGTTTAGAGGTTGAAATTTTGTATTCTGGCATGTCAAAATCTATAGCATGTGTTTCTGATAGGTTGAACAATAGGAAGCCCTTGCAAGGGAACAGAAAATATATCTAAGTGAAAAGTCAAACCACCACCAAGTCATGACTCTGAGAGGTGCAAAATGAGAATTTATTTAAGTATTTCCATTTGAAATAAAAAATTAAATCTTATAAAAGATAAAAATTGGAATTATAAACTACATTTCAATGCCAAGCTTATTGATATTAAAGTAGTTTAAGTTCTGAATGAAACTCTTAAAAAAATTGTGACATGCATCCAGACCCACACACATCCATAGGGCTAAAGTCATTGATTAATCAGTTATCTAGTACCACTAATTGCTCAGCTGTATCTCTTTGTTAATGTTACACTAAGCTTAATAGAAGCCACTGTTGTCTGAGTTGTTTTTTTTCATATATTTTGGGTAGATTTTTCATTTACTCTTTATATTTTTGCTAAATTTAAGAATTTAAAATACAGTACAATTATAGTGCATGTTGTAACCAAAGTTAGTCAGCTAAAACAACTAATAAAGAACTTATCTGTCATTGTACCAGAAAACCTAATTTTTGATATGATTTAAGCAGTATAAACAATCTGAAGTTTTAATCCTTATTATTATTACGAAATGAGAAAAAAACTAACACTAGGTTACATATTGAAGGAGTGTTTCTCAGTTTGTTTTCTTTCTTTTTTGTCTTTTATATAAACAATCATTTATTGAATTGCATATCTAATGCAATGAAATTTTGTAGGTATTAGAATTAGCTGGAAATGCTAGTAAAGATCTCAAGGTAAAAAGAATAACCCCAAGACATTTACAGTTGGCTATTCGAGGAGATGAAGAATTAGATTCCTTAATCAAAGCAACCATTGCTGGTGGTGGTAAGTACCTACTTTCTTGACAGTTTGAGGACTTTTTAGTGTCTGCTGTAATCTCAAATGTTTCTGAAAATTAATAGAAACTAAATTTAATTTCTTAGTTCCATAAACAAAAATCCATTTTTACTAGATGCATATTATCTCACTTATTGCATAACTGTTGCATTAGTATAGCTAACATGATTCTATAAGTAGTTTTAGTGCACTTAGAATAATATCACAAACCTGAAATTCCATTGAAAGCTAAATCTATAAAATGCTTTGCTTTCTGCCACATTTTCTTCTTTTTGCTAATTTTTAACTTTTTGTTAAAACATGATACAATCTCTCTAAGTATTAAAAGAATTTAACATCTAGCAAGAAGCACCTAATAACCAAATAAGTTTTGTGAATTAGAAATATAATTGTTTTCTCATTTGCAAACTTAGAGATTGAAATATTTGTAATCAAGATGAGAATTTTGGGCTTAATTAGACTTGACTATATCAAGTTAGCTTCCTTAAAATTTTGGTGTGGTAAAAAAGTTATTTCTGTTAGGGCTGTTTCAAAGGTTCAATTGCTAGCCAGGAAATCAAAGGTAGTTCTAAACATTTGAAAGTTTGTCCGATTTGTTTTTTTCTCTTGTTAACAGATAATGTTTGAATGATTGAATAATAATCACATGTTAAATGTTATTCACATGGAAAGTTTAATCTTTTGATTTGTATAATGCCCATTACTTAACACAGAATCTCTTCCTCAACCAGAGGCAAAGTAGTTTTTGGGTAGAAGCGCAAGGCACAGGAAGTTCTGGTAATTATTTTTTGGAGATGTTACATACACCTTTAGAAAGTCGAGAATCTGCTGTATTCAAATATGCAATCCATATGATGGTAATCTATTTTTGTTGAGAGTTTTGAGCAGTCAAAGAGACACAGGGTTTCAAAATGATTGCACCACTTAACAAGCAATAGTTACATACATTAATTGATTATCTGTTTGTTTTTCTTTTTTTTTTTAAATCATATTATGTGACCTTTCTTCATTGTCTGCTTGAGTTTGGAGACCTTGTTCTTGATCTTTATATCTGGTGTAAGTCTACTATTTTTGAATGCTGACACAGTATCTTTGGGCTTGATAAATGGATTGGCTCATTGAGGGCTATCAAAAGTCCATTGTGATCACATCCACAGCAGCTGAACAGGTTGCAAGTCAAACACCTCGGAACCTTGCACGTGATGATAATTTGGCAAATAATGATGATTGATGACGACATGCCAAAGAGTAGCAAAGTTCCATTTACAGTCAGTAGGGCTTGAAGCTATCTACTGATGATCTTTTGGGCTCTGGCCTGAAAATCAGATGCAATGACAAACAAAGAAGAAGGCTCGCATAGCAGATCTTTTTGGTTACACAACAATAAGTATTGTCATTAATTATAGGGTTTCCACTGATGATGTGGCCAATCATAACTCAATCAGTTTTTGTCCAACTTGGAAACTGTAAAGTGTAATCATCAAATTTTATATGCTACATTCTATATAAGTGACACAAAAAGTAAATTAATCGCAGACTTTGTTTTTTCTATTCCTTGCCATCAAGGTACCTCTGGTTGAGTGAGAGATCCTGTGTTAAATAAAGGTTTTTTAAAACAAAACATACACATCACCAAAACATTATATGTAACAGCTCCTTCCATGCATTGGAGTAGATCATTATTACATGAAGTTACATTTAGCAGTACTTTGCTTCAGTAAAATGTACTGAGTATCTAGTGTACAAAACATAGAAATTTTATTTTAAACAGTGGATACTTTTCACAGCCATACTGTTTTTCTTTTACTTTCTTGTTATAGTTGAATATCCATATTTATTTTCTCACTGAAGTTTTACTTGTATGTGTTATGTTTTGCTGTTTATTTATAATTATTTTTTTATTATTATTACTGTTTATTCACCTGCCTTTATTCATTGTATTTGTTTAATTTAATCACTAAATGTTAACAAAAAATTTGACCAATAATAACACACTTTCTTGGAACTTTTTTGCTATAGCTGAAGGTCTGTACTTATTTTCTAACTAAACTACGTGTGTTATTCTATTCTATTTTGCTGTTTATCTATTGTTATGTGTATTAACAATCAGCTGCAGTTCTTTTTAATTGGCCATAGTGGGTGCTTTTGCAATGTAAGCTTACTGTATGTAATACATGTATGAAAAAAATGTGCTTTTTATGCTTGAAATATAAAAACGTCATTACTGTTCTATATAACATATTCTTAAACTATATGTTAATGTTTTATTTAATCTGTATGGATTACTTGCAAAATAAAACCAATTAAATATAAACTAGTAGTTATGGTGACATCATCAGTATATTATGCAAATTAGTACCATTGAAGGCTTGACCCTTCTTTCAATAATATGCTCCAAACCTTCGAATGTCAAAATCTACCCTTTGTTAAAGTCCTAATTTTTATTGTGTCAGTGATCGTAAATAAAGTGAAACTGTATGTAGTGTTTTTTTAAATCAAAACAAAAAATGTATAGTTTTATGAAATAAAAAGTTCATTGGAAAGCTTTATAAAATGTAGAAAGATGTTATAATTAGTAATTGAAATCAGTGACAGAAGTTAACAATTTTCAAAGCTGAGATGTCATACCAATACAGTGTATGAAAAATAAGATATTTGCAAACCATACAACAGG